TTTTGCTACGCCCACAAGTCGCCCAAAACTCTCATTTACAAAAAAAATGTATTTATTTTTAATTTTATTATTTTTTGCCCACTTTTTATCCATATTTCGGAAAATTTTGAAATTTTGTTGTATGCAGTTCCACTAGCTGATTAACGGACATCTGATAGTCGGGGAACTCGATTATAGCATTCTATCTTGTTTAACTTATCGTTACTTATTTTTCATACATTAATTTTTTGTTTTATTTTACAATTGTTGTATAATTATAATATTTTGCATCTGATAACGTTACGCCTTTATGGGATTTTATTGTGTTTGATATAAAGCTTTACACTAAGCAGGGCATCCGCTGCTATAGCAATTAAAAGTAGCAACAGTTTCGGAGATATTTACATTGCTTACCTCTATGTGGTATTATATGGGGTCTGACTATCTTCGGGTTATAACATTATATAAATAATATAATATAATATATAAATAATATATAAATTTTTACATATTTCCTTTTAAAAATGGAGTTGTCGTCATACGCCCTTTCATAAGATCTTGACTTTAATGAACATACTCGATATTTGGCATGGATGCTGCGCAAGAAAAGCATACCAGTTAATGCGTGCCACGATTTATTTATATAAAATACTTTATCATTTATATATCAATATTATTTGTATCAATCTAAGCCAGACTTTTGTTTTTATCTGCGACTGCCTTGCCATTTTAAGATTTTTACAAGGTAGATGAACAACAGTATTAAATCTATACAGATACGTGCCATACAATAGGCTTAATAGAACCGCTTACGCTGCTCAGGATCATAAACCGTTTTCCGGACAGATATTCAATGGCTGAAGACCTTTTGTTATAAGGTACAATGATATAGTGCCATCAGTAAGGTAGCTTGTCTATTGGTTATCATTGTCTTGTCCGAAAAGTATACACTATTATAGCCCATTATAATAAGCGTAATCCTAGTCATAACATTTTTGGGTATCTTACCAACTGGTGGATTTGTGGAGCCGGCGTGAATTTTGGGTGGTTTGTGAGCGTTAAGCAAGACAAGATCTTAAGCAATAACAGAGCTCTTTCGGTGTCCCGCCAACGGAGGTTATGGGAAGATGTCCAGTTTGGCATAACAGGCTATACACTTAGTGGCCCCGCGAAATCTCATTCAAGCTAGCAAACCTAGTTCTATTGATACACATGTATGTTTACAAGTCGGTCAATCTGGTCGACCTAGTCAAAATTATGTAATGTAATCTAAAACTGTTAATATAATATAATCTAAAACCATTATGTACAGTTTTAATGTAACCAAGATTTTAGTCTTGCAGCTTTTAATATTCCCTTTAAGATATTTTTTGATTGACAAATAAATATATCTGTAACTTCATATCTATTAATCTCTATATTTGGCAACGCAAATTTTGTATAAGTGCCAAGTGTTACGTCAAAATTTACAATTGCCAATTACAATTACTTTATGATCTTTATCCTTTATTTCTTTGAAATACTTGTTTTTCTCTTTCGATAGCGCTTTGGGCTTGACTGTTTTTATTGTATTATTTCTCATCTGATACTTTATGATCTTTATCCCTTATTTCTTTGAAATACCTTTTTTTTCTTTTTCGAATTTTAAATTATATCACCTATTTTCTTTCTCATTAATCTAAACCAATACTTAAACTTAAATATGTGCCAGTTTGACTAACTTATATTGAATACTGGATAGAGAATATAAAGTTATATTAAAACAAACCTTTTTACGTCTTCTTGCCAACTCATATCGTATACATTCACCCTCTTTATTCTTTATTCGATCTGGGCATGTTCGTCCGTCCGTCCGTATAAATGTTGAGATCTCGGGAATTATAAAAGGTAGAAAGCTGAGATTAAGCATGTAGATTCAAAGGCCGTAGTGGCAGCGCAAGTATTTTTACTCATGCCCACTCTACCGCCCAAAACTGCCACGCCCACACTTTTGGAAAATGTTTTGAAATTTGTTCTCGTTTTATTGCTAGCCTTGCCAATTGCTATCGGTAATAATTTGGCCACGCCTATACTAACGAGAAAAAAACAGCCGACTTATATTTTTATTCCCTATATTTTTTTTTTACAATTTCTAACGATATGCCAGAAAAATGTTGAAATTTTTGCTCTCCACTAGCTGAGTAATGGGTATCTTATAGTCGCTGAACTCGACTGTAGTTTTAATATGCGTTGCAACATAACAAAAAAAATTCAGCTTATCTGCGACTTTAGAAATAGAAATTCAATACGTTCCTTACTGACCTAAAGTATACGTGTTTGATATAATAAAACTTTTTTAAAATAGATTGTATTTTTATATGTTTTGTAACAAATTTAAAAAGTATTCTTTTTCCAAAAAAGTCAGAATAATTCTATGCTTATCGATATCAACCATGGAATCGTATTCACAATGTACCAGACAAGTAACGGCCTCACATAGAGACTCCGAAAATTTTCTTCAATTTGTATTGTGCCTTTCGACATCATATTTGAACATTCGGTGGTATTTGACTGATCAGTAATTTGAAGACCACGATCATAATGTTTTATTTACAGTATACTGAATAGCAAATTATCGCCTCTCGAGCTTTGAACCTTTTTAGCGGTCAAGTAGTCAAATTTCTGATCTAGGGAAGGAACTTGAACTCCATTTAACATTATATTAAAGCGTTGCATTTTAAATGTTCAAAATTAAATAGATTTATTCCTCTGTTCCCTAAGTATGAACGGTTTCTAACCGTTTAAAAAGCTAGACAATTTAATATATTTTTTTGTTTGTAAAACATGATGATGCGCACATGATGTTGCTTGGTGACGTGATTCATGAAAATAAATGCTTCTAGTATCTTAAAATTTGATTCGGTTCCGTTTTCCATAAAATAAAATGCCGTTTCTATATACAAAAGAGAACGTAATAGTCGAGTTCCCCGACTGTCACGCAGGCAGTGGAAGTGAGAACGAGAAATTTAGACATTTTTCTAAAATATCGATAGAAATTGGCAAGATAAAATGAATACAAATTTTAACAGTGGCAGCTTTGAGCTATGAATATAATATATGAAAACATACATAAGAGAAATAAAGTTGTTTAATTTGTTATAACTGCATTAGGCAAGACCCCTTTATTACTAACACTGAATTTCAAATATACAGGCACTTTTGTTAAGAATTTTCCTTTTTTTTTATTTATTTCTAAATTAAATATTTCTATATGTTCAAGAAGTTTTTTGAAAATTTGTCTATCTATGTTTGCAAGGCTTCTATTAGGGGCAATAGAAAATTATAATGGTCCTTAGGACTTCCGTAATCAACACAAATTTTGATCAAAAATTTGTTCATGACTAATACAATAGGACATGTACTGTAGGTTTCAAAATGTAATAAGCGTCGTGCCCACCCAAAAACATTTAAATACCTTACGCAGAAGGCGTAAATACAAGAAGTATTTATGAAAAAAAAGATATTTTAAATTTATAACTTTTTTCCGTAGTTTGAAGTGCTTTGAATTAATTTAAAATTTCGAGCAGTGAGAGAATTGCTACTAAGTTTCATGGGCTTATAAACAAAAACATAATTTACTAAGATTTCTGAGAAGATTAATAAAAGGACATCAATTAGTTAAAATTATGTGTATTGAAGTTCATTTAATAATTGTTTAATAACTACAAAATAATAACTAGCAAAAGCTAGTTGATCCTCCAAATTCGATTAGGTCTGCTGCAGTCTACGCACTAAAGGCTTATTGCATATGCGCTGTTAACAATAATAAAAGTTTTTACCCCTTGAACAGTATTACGAACAGCACTAGAAAATGACATTGATAAACAGATTTTAATCTACTCCATTAAACTGCCTCGCAATTGAACAATACTCATGCAAAAATTTAGACATGCTGTTAATTTAGACATGTTACGAAAAAAATATTCACGCACTATTTGCTTAACATTTTCCTGTGCCGCTCGGTGGGCTCGGTTATGTTCTGCCGTTACTATTTCCCTTTGTTCCGATTTAACTGGGATGTCGGTTACCAAATACTTTGAGTATCGAAATGTTGTTGACGGGAAAAGTTCGATCAGTGTGTGCTGTATAAAAGCAAGGATCGGTAGTTCGCAATGGATTCCATTGACGACTCCTGAATTTACTATGTCTTTTAGTGTTTGGAGAAGAGTGCTCCGATCACAGATCGCAACACTATTCCTTGTTTTATTCTGAAATAGCACGAAGGTTTTAACAGATGGGGAATCAGATTCCTTAATTATTATCTGATGCCTGATTCACTGGTATTTCAGTGGTCTCCATAGTGTAGTTCAGGGATTCTTCGCTATGGATTGTAGCAATGTCGGAACATAGCGAATCAGAGTTTAAGGCATTCACGTTTTGATGTGACAATGCATCGGCTACATTCTCCTTGCCAGGTTTGTAAATTATGTTTGCATTATGCTCGTCAATAAAGGCTTCCCAGCGATTTATTTTGGCTTTGGGATTCTTCTTCCAGAAGGAAGCGTTTCCGACCATATAAACTCAATATTCTTGATCAGGAATTATTATTTTCATTGAGTGCCTTAAAACGTTTATTATTATTTTTCTTCCACAATCATTTTTATTTCCAAAATTACCGTTTGAGTGTTAACGAAACTGTTTAGTTACGGAGTTCTAGACCCGGTTGGACGCCAATTAATAATATTGTATTTGCATTTATTAAATTTTATTACGATCCGTTTGGATCTGTTTGCTATGGATAGCTGGCAGCGTCGCGGCAGAACGCTCACCCTGCGCCTCGTGCCGTGCTGCAGCGACCACTTGGCGTACGGAGCTACTGACCGTGCGCCTCGTGACCTTTTTCGTGGGCTGTTAGGTGCGCGTATCACGTTACGCCGCCGTTGGGTTTTGCAACTTTGTTGCATCCGGTTGACTCGATTCAGCTTAGTTTGTTTTAACTTGTATATTCAAAATATGTTTATACTTATTTCATTTAATTGCAGACAAAATTCCAGCGCGTTTGGTGCTTTATTTCCTTTCGTGGTCTGGCTTTCTGGTCTCTTTTATGATGCGCAATGATATGAATTTCGCATTGGTAGCAATGGTATCGAACGACAATTCAACACAAACGCAAACGCAGGAAATATTGGTAATATAAGAATTATAATTATATTTGCATACATACCAAAATAAAGCAATATATATTTTCAGGGTAGTGGCACTGATGACCAAAGAACAGTAGTTAAATCTGTTATAATAAGTTCATTCTATTGGTGTTATGTGTTATCCCAAGTGGTTGGAGGGGTTGCCACAGAATTGTTTGGAACGAAGTGCGTATTTGGATGGTCACAGTTAGCAACAGCTATATGTAGTTTTATGATGCCATCGGCAGCACAATTACATTACATAGCTGTTATTGTGTTACGGTCTATTCAGGGATTTGCCTCTGGTTTGACGTGGCCTGCCATGTATGCAATAGTTGGATATTGGATACCCCTTACGGAACGTTCACGATTTATGTCAAGCTTTCAAGGTTTTAGCATTGGTATTGGTTTAACGTATCCGTTATGTGGATTTATTTTATCAGAATGGGGTTGGCCATATATTTTTTATACTACTGGTACATTAGGGCTCGGATGGTGTATACTATGGTATTTACTAGCTTTTAATACACCACGCGAGCACCCTCGTATTGCTGAAGATGAATTAAATTATATAGAACTTAACGTAAGAAAAGAGGCAAGCAGTAGTGTCGAAGTTAAAGTACCTTGGCTGCAAATATTTAAATGCATACCTGCTTGGGCGATTGCTGTAACAACATTTGGGCGAATATTTGTTCATTACATTTTTATTGTTAATGGTCCGACATTTATGGGAAATGTTTTAAAATTTAATTTTGAAACAAATGGATTTCTTTCTGGAGTTCCATTTATTTGCTCATATATATCATCAGTTTTTTTTTGTTATATTGCCGACAAAATTGTATTTCATAAGGTTTTGAATCTTACTAATGTAAGAAAAGTATTTACTGCTCTTTCACAAATTATTCCAGGGGTGTTGATATACTGTATCGGTTATATAGACAATGTGCACATTTTGTTGACGGTATGGTTTATAGCGGTAATATTTATAACTGCATCTTATGCTGGAGCTATGGCTAATATAATTGATTTAGCGCCAAACTATGGTCATTCCGCAGCTGTTTTAGCATTTTGCCAAACAATTCATATGTCTGCGTCCTTTATATCTCCGCTGACGACTGGATTTATCGTCACCCAAGAGGTAAAGTATAAAATTTAATTGAATATTCTAGATACAAAAAACTAAGTATTCTAACAAAAGAGCACGACGCAATTAAAGGGTAATGCTTTTTATTATACCTTATACCTCCTAAAGTAAAAGGTTATACTATACTCGCTTGAATGTAACAAGAAGAGTTTTGGACCCTAAATGTGACTATATAAACACTGAGATCGGAAACAACAAAAGCTTGAAACCGACGCATCGCAATCTTGTTTCAGAAGATTACCACGCGTGTTTTCTTACCTAACCAAACCGTGTAACAAACTATCACGTCCACACTTTCGAGAAATCCTTCTATTTGAAGTCACAGTCAAACACGAAAGCAACTGCGTACGGTGGACCTACATTAGTATCCCATAACTTTTTAATTAATTATACCCGTTCCTCATAGAGTAAAAGGGTACACTATTTTTGTTGACAAGTTTGTAACAAGCAGAAGGAAGCGTATATATGTAAGTATATATATTCTTGATCAGGATCAATAGCCGAGTCGATCCCTCTGTCCGGGCGTCTGTCTGTATGAACTCCTCGATCTCAGCAACTACAAAAGCTCGAATGTTGAGATTAAGCATGCAGCCAAATGTTGCCACACCCATTCTAACGCCCACAAACCGCCCAAAACTGCCACGCCCACACTTTTGAAAAATTTGATATTTTTTTCTTGTAAATTTCTATAGATCTGCCAAAAAAACCTTTTGTCACGCCAATTTATCCCTATTATTCCTATTTATACCGAAATATTGAAATTTCTCGTTTGCACTTCCACGGCTGAGTAACGGGTATCTGATAGTCGGTGAACTGGACTATAGCGTTCTCTCTTGTTTCAAGTTTTTTAGAAATATTTTTAGCGTTGGTGGTATTTGGTATATGGACATCGTGGAAGTGGTAAAATTTGCTTTGCTAGCATATCGTAGGTAATGCAAAGAAAAATATATTACATTCAACAATTGCAAATTTGGTATCGTGTTTTAAGCGGATCAATTTACCTTAAAAACTCTTAGCGAGGTAAAAGCTCTTTAAAACCTGTGTATAGAAGTTTTAAAGCAATCTGGAAAGGATTATGATTTTTGTATTCAACTGAATAAAAAAACTTTCATTTGATCAGCATTCGCAAAATACCTTCTTTAAGATTTAAAAATTAAAAAATTGTCTGAGATAATCTTAGAGAATGTGCTTATGTAGTCAAAGTATATTTGTTGATTTTTATAAATGGTGATATCATAACAAGCTGTTTATGCTGGTGAGGGGTGTCTTTGTTCGATACTAAAAGATTACAATTGAAGGAGTGTTTCCAATCTAATAAAGTATACATATTCTGATCAGGATTAATAGCGGAGTCAATTTGGCCATGTCCGTCTCTTCGTCCGCATGAACGTTGAAATCTCGGAAACCGAAAAAGCTAAAAATATTGGGCATTCCATATTCTCTACTATATTCTCTATACCAAATACGCCAACTTTAACGCCCACTAACCGCACTTATGATGTAAATTTATTGCAATTTTTTCGTTTTATTATTTGTCCTGCCTATTTCGATTGGTATACCAAAAACATTTTGCCCATGTCAAATCTGTAAAATTGGTGTATGATATATTTGGGTAATTAAATGGCTTTTCGCACTGGTTATTCCATTACATCTTAATATTTTTTTGCAAGGCTTCCTGGTCGACCGCGTTATACGTACTGACCCAGACAAGTTTGCAGCCATAGCCTAGAAGCCGTGGGCAGCATACAAAATGATACGGGGAATTTGAAGGAACCTTCCCAGGAACAGGCTAGACATAATTATCTGTGAAGGAGGCAAAAGAATCCAAGGATTGTTGACGTGGCTTGACTCAAGGAACACCATTTGTTGAAAGCGTCAGAGAGTTTCGCTGCCAAACTGGCACCGTAGCAGATCCTCGATTTCGTATCGTAAGTAATCTGCTAGATTCGCCACCGGAATAACGGAAAGGAACGCATAGTGCAGAATAGGATCGGAAAAGCTTCGTTTCCGGTTACATATTATTCAACAAATCTATTTACTCTGCGAGTTATTGTATAACACATAGATATCTGACCCGTGCGGCTGATTCACTAGTACAGTTTTTTCCATTATCGCTTGTATTCGAGTTTGTTGCTGTTCCCGAATTGTTGATGTAACTTCTGTTGTTTAGAACACAATAATACACAATTGCCTTCATCTAAACTCTGACTTTTTTTATCATGTCATTAATAAATTACCAGTGTTGCCAGATCATGAACAATGTATGATTGTGTGCAGACAATAAATAAAACAGATTTAAAAAAATAACATAAAAAAATAAAATAAAATAATATAATAACACCAACTCTATGCTTTATACTGCAGACGTGGAAAACAATGAAAATAGATTCTCGCTCTTGGTGAAAAATGACAATATACAAACAGAAAATCAACGTAAAGCTCCACGAAAATAAAAGCCGACAGCAATATTTATATGGAAGCATTGGTGAATGAAATGGTCGGAAAAGATAACTTTTACGTAAATTCATTCACGAAATGAACCATAAGCGAAGGTATATACTTAGACACTCTAAATTTGTACACTTTACAATTTAAAGACTTGGAATTTGCCCTAAAAGGTATAGAACCAGATGTGACCCCCTAAAGGCTGAAATAAAAATGGGTTTTTTTTGACAAAAATGTGAATGTAGAATATAAACTGAAAACGTCTACCACTGTTTAAGGTCGAGATAGTACCAGATACCATAACTTAAAGGAAACATAAAGCTCCCCCGATACACCGACTACAATACTTGTCGCATCGTTGATGATAAACGGAACGGGCCGATGCAAGAGGTCTTACTATAATATAATGACCAGTCTGCGTAGCTTTTTCAGACTCCCACAACCCCTTGCCTTGCCCTGTGCGAACTGTTAAGGAAAGTATACAGCAAACTACAGAGATCGCTCAGTCCACAAGGAGGTAAATAGTCAGATCCAATGTGCTACACCGGCATGTGCGCATATCTCACAGAATATTTACTTTAGTTAAATATCGACAAATCATTAGGCCATTCAATTATGACTAGAGTAGGAATAACTTATGCAGAGCCGAGAACTGGAAATATTTAGTAGTCAATGGAACAGACACAGAGCCATATTGAGACAATAATAATCAATTCGGAGCAAAGTATGATAGATTTATTTCATCTATAAAAACCACTATGCAAAACCTTATGCACAATCAAGATGCCTGCATCGCATCGCATGAAAGCCTTGGAAAATATTATCTGCAAGCTATATCTATAAAACTACAGTCAAATATCGGCAACATTACCAAGGCATCTGTCTAATGTCAACCCTGCCTTACAATCTCCGAAAACTAGTTCATGAACACAAAACATTCTTATAAAAAACATGCACAAAAAATATCTTACTTAATTTGATAATAGCAAAAACGATTTTGAACCCACCAGTGCTCTTAACTCTTACTGAAAGACCGGAAACACCCTCAACGGCTGACGTTGCATTGAACCAACTGCCATCAATTCCAAAAATATAGAGCTAACTCCCCAGCTCAACATAAAAGAGGACATCAATTTCTATGCCAATGTACAATGCAACAATGTACTTGCAACAGCCAAAATCTCTACACCGCAAGGGAAGAATATGCAGGGGTTTGATACGTACTGGGCAACCAGTAGACCGCCATCGTGAAATCTATTTTTAAGGAGGCCGGTCACAGATTCACCAGGGTTCTAAACCACGAAAAAAGAAAAGCAGAAATTATACCACGTCAATGACTAAATCAAACCTAAGCGCGGCGGCCGAAACAGTGAACCTAATAAGCAAATCATTAGGCAGCTGGGACAAGCAGACAGCGACAAGCAAAGCCATTACATTTGCTATAATTGCCTGCCCCTAAGTCATTCGCCTTAACGAAAATTTTAACTCAAACTGAGGAGGACTGTTTCAACTAGGTGAAGTTTCAAATGTCATCCAAGAGCAATCGAAACCAAATGAAACCAGACAGAGACTACTCCAATCGAGATTGCAGAAGTCATGAGCGGATAATGAAAATTAAAAAAGGTCAACAAGCGGCCTCTTAATAACTCCTAAAATGAAATATACATAAACTCCCAAGCTGTGCAATTAATGTCATTTGTAAACTCATTTACAGGATCAGACGACATGTCTTATTTCTACAAAAAATGGAAAAAGGTTATGCATTACCTGCCTATAAGTTTAATCTCGTGTTAGTTAAAAGTGTTCGAAAATTAATCCCATATCTATGAGTGCACAATGTTATTCCGGCACATAAATTTTGGTATAACATAATAACGAAATAACGAACGGAAATCGAAAATCGGGAACACTGTATAATATTATATTAAACACTAATACACTAAATATTTCTTAACCTGGCACACGCATTCGACGATCACGCTTGGCGTAAAATCAGAACAATTCTGCGAACACTCAAATCTTACTAAATTATATCTCTACAATAGAGGTTTCCCTATGAGATGCAACGTTACAACGTATGACGACTTTACTGTAGAGCCTCGAGTTTCTCAAGGTAGCTTCCTTGGACAAACCTCTTTGTCATATAGAGACATCGAAATAACTCCTGTCTCCTGTCTACAAGAAGAAAAGTATTTTAATCTAAAGGAACTGTATTCATAACCATAGCGGATTTAAAGATTAAATCTTAATATAATAATTCACAAAAGTGTTAATTTAAACCTCTTTTGGGCAAATAAAATAAAAGGAAATAATGAAAACTTTTAGTTTTAGTAAGCAGTGGATCAGTGTTATCCTCTAAAAGATTGACGACAGTTACCAGCATAATTTATAACCACTGGTCCGTTTCACCGATTTCGTAGTATCCAAACGATTTTCCAGTGTTGAGTTAATAAGGTTTTATATTAGCTATTTTTAATAAGACGACGATCTAAATATAGAGACCATTACTACGAACATTACAACCCAATCTAAAGGCTGCAGGCGTAGTGACTGAATGGAGCTCCTTCTCCTGCTTATTAGTAATGGGATTTGGGTGAGGCCAGCCCTTTGCAAGCTGTGGACAACCGATAGTCTTAACTGACGCCGTCTTGAAGGCCCTAGAGGTTGAATGCATTAGGCGTTGGTTTTGACAGTCTATCTTTCGGACTATAACGGTCTGCTCGTTCTTGCTACAGCGGTTAAACCTTTTTTCCAAAGCAGCGATAGATATCATCTTTAGTCCGCTTTCGGTTACCCCAGAAAAGGCGAACGATGCCACAGGGGGATTTCTTTTCCCCGACGGCGCTGATGGTAGCACGTCTGGGCTGCACCATTTTCTTGTTTTTTTTATTTCCTTAGGGATTTATTTTTGGTCTGGAGGAACCACGGCCACTTAGCATTTTATACTTCCTACCAATCACCTCAAAATGGACATAAGTCTAGAAAGCGCAGTCGCTAACTACCTTGAGTACGAGCTACGAGGGACAACTGAGATGTAGGGCTACTGAAGACAATGAAGGACGCTACACTATACGTCTCCGGGTACGAACGCATAAGGCTAGGCTGAAATGTTCGTTTTTCACTGGACTCTTGTTAGATGGAGTGTTTGGCGAAAGCTCGACGTAATACCGAAAAAAAGGAAGCAATGAACTGAAGGCAACGGCAATTTTAGGAACAGTGTAGGAACACAAAAACACGGACTTACTTTTGGAAATTACTTTTGGTCATTATTAAGTGCTGCGAACAGCTCGTGTATGAGGTTATCCAGCAGTTTCTAGGTTTTATATGGTCTTTAAGTCGGTGAACCAATTTTAAACCGTGCTATTACTACTGCCATCAATATCTGCCAGACTTACCCTGGTGCTCTCTTCGAGAAACAGTCAAAGTTAAGGTTGCTGGTATCTGGAGTCTCTCTTTGATTGAGTTGCGGTGATAAAGTTTCGGAGTTATATTATATTCTCTTCGTTTTAAGCTACCTGCAGAAAAACCTAATGCTTTTTTTCTATAGCGACAAATAATATTAAATAATATAATATAATATAATATATAACCTATGTAGGTCAAAATGGGCCGGGTAAGACCATTATTTCATTGAACCATTGTGACAATGGAATAATCAAAAGAATAGAAACGAAATGTACTTTCGTTGTTTTTGATTATAAATCGTTCTAGTTTGGTATACGTTTGTTTTTTTTTAGTCTCAACGACCCTAAAATATGGTAAGAAAATGGATAGAATTGTCCGTTTTCTTATATTGATTTTGTATCCATAAATTTTCACTTCTCCTAGACTTACCCGTTTGTAGTAGACTTTGAAAATACGGAAGCGTTTTATAAAAACTGTGAAGTATGTATAATACTATAGCAAAGTTGATATAGTATAGTATAATACTAACAAATCTAGTTGATTTTGCATTATCAACAAAATATTAAAAATAGTTAGAAGGAATTTTTAGAATAATTTTTTCTTGAACATTAATGCATTTTCTTGAAAATTAATACATATTGGTAGCGTCTTAAAATCCGTCTGTTTTCTACCAAATTTCTTTTTTTAATTTATGTATATTATTCTGTATTTTTAGGACTCCATTGATCAATGGCGAAGAGTGTTTGAGGTGTCCGCAATTATTTCAATACTGACGTATCTAGTTTATCAACTTTTCGGCACCGCAGAAATACAGACATGGAATAAAGGGCTACCAGTTAAAGATGATTCAGACGAAGGAAAGGTTTTATCGACAGCAAAGGATGATTTCGATAATACTGTTGGACCAATTTAAAGATATCGCACTTAGTATAAAGACCTGTTTATACCAAATTTGATATACTGTTATATGTTTCCTGTTATAGTAATAAAATATCACAAATATTTTAAAGCATAAGAACGATTTATATCGATATTGATGAAAAGGCGGGAGAACCATTTAACAGCAATTGGAGCAACGAAATACCCGATGACAAACCATTTATCTGCGCTGGAATTGATTATCCCTTTTTTATTTTGTTTATGTTCTAGTTGTGAAGACCTAAGGCAGACGGTTTCATTTTCAGATTCCTAAGAATCAGAGGGGAAACCCCATAGAAATGGGAAACCAACTTGAAAGTTGTTAACACTTTTATCAATAAAAAAATTACAAGTACAGAGCTACCATGCATGGCGTAATACTGCACAAGACACGCCGTATCCCATTTGGACCCAGCGAGCATACGGCAGGCCACAATTGCCTCCGGAAAGCTCATTTCTTCATGCCGTATTCAAAAGGCAATAGCCGATTTCATTTTTTTCAGTCCGACTCCAGATTTTTGTAAGGTAAGAGAGAAGCCACGAAGATGTACACTTGCCCAGAATCAGCATCCCAAAACTCGTCGGAGATTTACTCAAATGTGGTATCTCAAAACTACCGTAACTGAAGGGGCTGAAATCAGTTGACGCCTACAATAATACCCGGTATGTATCAGACAATAACACGTATACAGTGACGATTCAAAGTAACTAAAAGAGTTACCGGCAGTCTTTGGCAGCTGGGACACGATATTAATTGTCATTATTAGGCATAAGCTCGATTTGGCTAGCAGAGCTGTTTACGAGCAGGCTTCTGATGGCTCTAGAGAGTTCCAGTGTTTCAACACTTCTCAACTTCCTGGATCGACGAGTTAGAGGGCTTGGCGCAAGTTAAAAGAGCCAACATTCCAAAAAGGAGTAAAAATGATCATTGTGCATTTTTTATACATAAATTTTATAAAATTTGATGTTGGATTTGAATAGACATGAACTATTTGGATATTATCGTTTCTGATATACCAGGGTGCTTCAGTAATTGTTCTCAGTATATTCGATTGATATCAATCGAATATAATGTTGTCAAATATCTCCCGTCCGCCTTTTTTGCTCTTTATTCAATGCTTTATAAAAAGTGTTACAGTGATCGGATTTAGTTAAAATATGCGCCGTTTTGTTCGATAATCTGTTTCCATCTAGATGGCAACTTCATAATACCTCCCTCGTAGAACCCCCCCTCCTTATTTCCGAAGAACTCGGACAGCCACTTTTCACAAGCCTCTTTTGAGTTCAACTTTACACCATCAAGGGCATTCGCCATGGACAGGAACAGGTGGTAATCACTTGGCGCTATGTCCGGGCTATATGGTGGATGCGATAAAACCTCCCATCCGAGCTCCCTTAGCTGACGAGTCATCAACGAAGTGTGTGGTCTGGCGTTGTCCTGGTGGAACACTACACCCTTCCTGTTGGCCAATTCTGGACGCTTCTGGTCGATCGCCTGCTTCTAGCGGTCCAGTTGTTCGCAGTAGATGGTAGAATTAAGCGTCTGGCTATATGGGAGCAGCTCATAGTGGATGATTCCCTTCCAATCCCACCAAACACACAGCAAAACCTTCCTGGCCGTCAATCCCGGCTTGGCCACTGTTTCGGACGATTCACCGGCCTTCGACCACGACCGTTTTCGCTTGATATTGTCGTATGTGATCCATTTTTCGTCGCCAGTCACCATCCGCTTCAAGAATGGGTCGAGTTCGTTCCGTTTCAGCAGCATATCGCAGGCGTTGATTCGGTCCAGAAGGTTTTTTTGCGTCAAATCATGCGGCACCCAAACATCAAGCTTTTTTTTGTATCCAGCCTTCTGCAGATGGTTTAAAATGGTTTGGTGACTAACTCCCATCTCCTGGGCGATGTCACGAGATGCCACATGTCGGTCTAACTCGATGTATTCCATGATTTGATCGGTATTTGTCGTCACAGGTCTTCCGCCGGCTGGCTTATCCATGGTGTCGTTTCCACCGGCTCTGAATCGTCGAAACCATTCCTCCGCGGTTCGAAGTGATAGAGTACCATCCCCCAAAACACCATTAATCTCACGGAACGTTTCTCTAGCGGATTTGCCTTTAACGAAGGAAAACTTTAAAATAGCGCGAATTTCGGCGTTAGTGAACTCCATGTTTACACGTCTATAACTGTTGAACGCAATATCCAAACTAATCATGCATAGCGTCGTTTTGTAGGTTATGTCAAGACCTTTCAAATTATGTATAGATTTTGCCAGATATTGCCAGATACGAGCTCTGTAGCGCTTTGTACATAGCCGCGAAATTCAAAAGACAAAAAGGCGGAAGGGAGATATTTGCCAAACTAATATAAATAATAATAGTATAAATGTAACCTTAATAAATTTGGAAAAGTAAGGTATAATAATATAAGATAATAATAATAAAATATAATAATAATAATAATAATATAAATAATAAAAAAATAGATAATAAAAAAAAAAAAAATGAAAAAATTATTAAGTTTAAGATTCATTTTTATCTAAAAGCAAAAAATAAAAAAAATGTCGTTCTAGAAACATGTTAAAATGTCACTATACTAAATACCGAAAAACTGTAGCGATTGTTAGAAGTAAAATAAAATTCAGGAATAATGAAATTCCACCTAAAATACCAATAATCAAGCAAAAAGAAATTGTATTTCTTACAATATATAATTAATATTATTTATATTTAATATTAAAATTATTTCATTATCTGTAAACAAACTACATATGTAATTACCTATAAGTCTATCAACAAAAATCTTCAACTGAACAAACAAAAAGAAACAAATCAGAAAGGTATAATTCAGACCTCTTCGAAGGCATAAACAAAATAAAGTCGAACAAAATGTTGGTATGCATAAACTAAAATAAACTACAATAAATGTCAACTAGAAATTGTTGTAGAATGTCTAACAGCTAATATCTTGTCCAGTATTTTAGAAGTAAAAAATTTAAAGTTCATCATGCCTCATCATTTGAACAAATACCCTATACCTGGACAAGCATGCAAAATCTGCAGCATTAAAAAAACAATCTATGTTCAGTGATCCACGTTCAACCCATACATTCGTTACGGGCCTCACTCCGTGCTAGGAGGGGAGGAGTTACCATAAAGGCTACAACCTTGTCTTCCATCTCGAACTCATCTCTACTATGTGCACGAATAACACGACGAATAACAATAGTGACATACATAAATATCTAATAAAGCTGTCGTCTCTACTCAATGAGCATCAACTAACGGGATAGCAACTGAAAAGAACACTCGATGTATTTGATTCAGCAACTAAGTAGTTTTACATAAACAGTACCCTAGCAACTAAGTAGTTTCACACCATCAATGCTGACGCACCCAAAATTATTTCACCGCTCGGCACTAAGAACGTCCAGCAGCGGTAATCGGACACAGCCTACTTGGAGTGCCGCATTGCGATGCATGGAACGCTGTAGACTTATGCTTTTAAATATTTTAATACTTTAGTTCGAAGATCCAAAGAATAAAGAGCACAAGCTCTGATCAAATACAACTATAGCTATAGCCGTTATCATTTATTACAATTCACAACTTGACTGACTGAGTTTCTCAGTGCGGATCACCGCCGCCCACAACCTGACAACAAGAGTTAACTAGTGCGACGCTGGAAAAAGTGCAGTCAGGTAAGAGCGCAACCTGTTACGACACTATTCACCAATAGTATTAAATTAATTGCCTACTTTTTAAACAATTGTTTTGATATTTTTCATTTTTTTGTCAGTCTTCTAAATTTGTATCAATTTTCCATAAAACAGAACTGAAAAGATCGTTGAGATCCTATAATACCAGAGGTAATGACTTTACCTGAAATAGGATGCGAAGAAATCTTGCAATCAGAAAAAGAAATCAAACCCGGCACAAATGACAACAACGTTTCAACTTTTATCTATAAGGTGTTGGAATTAATTCGTAGCGTTTTACGAAAGATGGCTCTAGCTTACTATTCATAGTCACACAGACAAAAGTAAATAGTCTCCTGGAAGCTACTGACATAGCGCATCTTCACCAGTATATGACATTCCCTTATTGTGTTCATAGCTATTGTTGTACAGTATCAAACATGTCGAAGTTTGTGCCTGAAAAATCGTTTTTGCGGGGAGTGTTACTCATTATTTTAACATGAAGAAAAGTGCCGCGAAAAGTTATCGTATTTTAGTGGAAGTATACGGTGAATATGCTCTTACTGAGCAAACATGCAGAAAGTGGTTTGCGCGGTTTAAAAGTGGAAATTTTGACTTGGAAGACAAGGAACGTCCTGGACAACCGAAAAAGTTCGAAGATGAAGATTTGGTGGTGTTGCTCGATGAAGACCCGTGCCAAGCACTTCTGGAGTTGTCCACATCACTTGGATTCGACTTTTCGACGGTCGGAAAACGCCTCAAAGCCATAGGAATGGTACAAAAACAGGGAACTTGGGTTCCATATGAGTTGAAGCCAAGGGACATTCAACGGCGTTTAACCGCCTGTGAAATTCTTCTTCAACTACAGATAGGGAAACGCTGAAATGGGAAGTTTTGCCCCACCCGCCATATTCACCGGACATTCCTCCATCCGATTATCAATTGTTCCGATCCATGTCGCATGGCTTCGATTTTTTGGATTGGATCGATTCATTCATCGAATCGAAAGGAGAAGAATTTTTTCGACGCGGTATTCGAACTTTACCAGAAAGATGGTAAAAAGTGGTAGATAACGATGGACAATACTTTGAATAATGCTACTGTAATGATACCCTTATAATAAATCACGAGACGCTATGAAACGCTACGAATTAATTCCAAGACCAGTATCCAGATATTTGCCAAACTAATATAATATATTGATATACTGGTTCTGACATGTGCTTATCCATCTGGATGATTTGATCGGTAGGAAAAAAAGATGCTCATTTGGATGTTGTATTTAGCAGAACGATGTGTTTCTGATAAAAGCATAACATCAATATGATTGTCATTTCCAATATAATATTTGTAGGGATGCAATTATTATTAATTATTTGAAACGTGACAACTTCAT